ACCAGCGCATACAGGGGAGCCGGCATTAAGCAGCGCGACAGCGACGAGGAGCCAGCGGGCGGCGGCAGGGAAGGGGCGGCGGAGCGCGCTGCCCAACGCCGGGAGCGCCGAGCCCCGCGGGGCGCAGCCGTGCCCGAGCCCCGTCCCCCGGGCACAAAGGGCACTGCAAATCCCGGGCAGTCCTGCTGCTATCAGGAATACAGGTTTGGGGAGCAGCTTGCAGTCCAGCCTTGACGGGCGGGGGGAGTTTGTTTAGTGCTCATTGCGAAAGGAACAAAATCCTTTTGAAAGGGCGCTAAGTAGTTTCACGCCAAAGTGGCAGATTTGGTGAAGAATGTGGGGTGGGACAAAGCCCCGCCGCTCCCAGAGCGGCCGGAGCGCCTCGGGAAACCGCACCGGGAATTCAAGCACACAGAAAAGCGGGAGAGCCCAAATCTCTCCGCTTCCTTCTCCCTCCCGGCCCCCGAGAAGCAAAGGGAAGCAGAACCATTACAAAAAAGAGAGAGAGGCTTAGCCGAAATGCAGCCACAACCAGCAGCCTGGAGTTGACTTTCCAAAACGGGGGAAGCTTGCTCAGAGAGCCTGGCATTGTGTTTCGCAGCCTAGGAAACCCTAAGAAGCTGGTACTTCCCCCCTCCTTTCTCTTTTCTCCCAACTGGTTTGTAAATATTAACAAGGTTGTGAGCTATTCTCTCACACAGAGTGGATTTTTTTCCCCCCCTTTTTTTTTATCCTTGGAAAACTTCTTGGCTTCCCCCCACAACCCCTCTCCCACTCCTCCCCTCTGCAAAGCTACACACCTGCTTGCGGCCACAAGGATTCAAAATCAATATTGTATTTGTCACTTTTCTGTCTCCTTTTCCTCTCTCAACAGCCCCGCTTGCCACTGAGGCGAATTGTGGATTTATGGAGGAAAATTAGCATAAATTATTACCAAATCTGTAAACGTGTGTGGTCTTGCTTGTGGGAAAGGGGGCTATTGCGAACCTTCCATGCAGAAAGGTGGTCCATGATGGGCTCCATGCAAGGGCTGAATGGCTATTGCACGAAATAGATTTCCATTGGGTTCGCACATTGATATAATTGACTTATGTGTATTTTATACAGTTTTCCCAACACTTCCCCTGAGCTTCTTATTTGAATTAGGCTTCAGAAAAACGTCTATTTGTTTTGGTTTCCTGCACAATGGATTTGGATTCACTTGCCCCCTCTCCTCCTCCCTAATGTTGGCTTTCAAAGTGAAAGGCAAACGCTACAAGTTACATTTAAATCCTACACTGCCCAAGTCTGTCATCTGTTGCGTGCTTAACACGAGGTGAAACTTTGGGTATCAATTACCGGGATGGCTTTGCCTGCCCTACCCCTCTGCTCACACATTCCTTTGCACTGGGGAAAAAAAAAATCGGGCGCCTTACAGCCATACCTCGTTCGCACTCGGAGTAGCAAATGACAACGGAAGTCGACTTTTCTTTAACTTTACAGCTTGCGGGTTCCCATTTGCGCCAGCGGTTGGTTTTTTTCTTTCTTCGAAAAGAAACGGTACCGGCAAAAAGAGGAAGAAAAGAATTTGTCAGCCTGCGAATTTTATTTACTCCCGTGCTGTTTCTGAGCTCTCTTTTTGACTGGCATCCCAGGAGCGAACCTGGGCTGAGAGATAAAACCCGAACTGAGGGGTGTTGGGGGGGGGGGTGTCGGAGGTGTCCATTAAACCCACGTATTTGGGGGCTCTCAATGCAAAAATAGAAGCCTTCTGCCTGGTGTCCTAGGGGACGCTGGGAGGAATCTGTCCTCATTTCAGAGTATTGTCTTTCCTACCCTCTGACAAACGTCCATCGGCCCATCACCTCTTACCCCTCAAAAAAAAAAGTTTGGAGGGCGCCTTCCTGCCCTGCCCGGCTGGCACGAAGCATCCCGGAGCCGCTTAACTGAGCCAGGCAGCTCCCGGGCTCTGAACCGCACGAACGCCCCCGAGCCCCTCTCTGCAAGGGGGGTGACATGCGGCAGGTCTCCCCCCAAAAGGGCTCGTTAGCTCGGCAAAGCGGGGCCGAGGTCGGCTTCTCGGACTCCTAGAAACGCAATCATTTGCCCATTATTCTCTAAACGACATCCTGCCCCGAGAGAGAGGGATTAGATGGGACCGAGGGCAGTCGGGTTGGAACGAGGGGAACGCAGTTTAACACACACGACGTCGGAGCTAGCTGCAGCGTGAAATGCGTTTTCAAGCTGCTGCCAGGTTTCAGGGAGCCCTGCTTGATGGGGACTGTCCCTCCGAGAAGACTCCAACGCGCCCGCAGAGCCCGTCTCGCAGCAGCCCCCGCTGCACAGACAGCCGGAGGGGCGCTCCCTTCCCCCACCCCAGCTATTTTTGCTGAATTAAGAAGGTGACATTATTCTTTTCTTCAAGTACTTCTGTTAATATTGAAAAACGTGCGCTTGCATTTCAAGCGGGCGCGCTCAGCCTCGGCAGCCATTTCAATATTAATGAAATTGTTTAATCTCCTAAATTCATCGTGTTTAAGCTACGTTTTGGTGAGTTATTGACCGACTCCGAAAATATTGTTAATGGAGCGTATGTGTATTCACCACAAAGGCTCTTCCTCCCAGGGCGTGCAGCTCCCGAGACAATCTTTTATTCTGGCTCTAGGGTGACAGGATGCACCGCAGCCTCGGGAATACACATGGTACAAACTTCCCTCCTATGCCAGGGCAAGCCTGGGACCTTCCGGGCCTGATCCTGCCCCCAGGACACACGGCTGGCAGCGGGGCTGCTCGCTGGGGCTGCGGTTCCAGGATCGGGCCTCGGTTCCCGGGGAGGAGGCAGTACAGTGGAGCAGAGAGCGCCGCAACTCGGGTGTTACACATCCTGCCTGCTCCTCCGCACACAAGTGCGCACCGAGAAGCACACAGGCACACGAACAGCCCGAGACACATCACGGAAACCCCCGCAGAAGGCGTCAGGTTGACGATATTTAGCACAGCAACCGGTGACACGGACCGGTTACCCCAGACCAGCTCTGCGGGACCCCCCCGCCCCGAGGTCGGACGGCTGGCGCGGGAGCCGGATAGCGTCGCGGAGAGCAGCTCGGCACCGAGCACACCGGGGCTGTGCCCCGGCCGCGGACCAGGAGCCCGGCCGCTGCGGCGAATTTTAAGGCGACTCCCACGGCTTTGCACCAACAGGTCCGCGGAAGTAGAGCAACGGTCCTGCCTGGGCCGGGGGGGGGAAGGAAACTTCCAGGGGCGGCTACGGGGGAGCCCCGATCTTTTCTCTCCTCGAAAGAACCTTCGCTCGGGGAGAGCGGATTTGGCAAAGAGAAAGTCTCTCGTTACAGGGAAAAAGGCTCGCCTTAAGTTAGCCAACAATACAAATCAGATAACAATGCAGAACAAACAGAATACCACAGCCAAGCAATTTCCATGTCAAACATCCCACTGCTCGGTACCTCCATTTGTAAGTGTGAATTGCAGACTAAGCTTCCTGCAAAGTCCACAGAGAGGTTAGTGCATACCTTCCCCCCCACCCCCAGCCACCGGGTACCATCGCACTGCAATTCCGCTGGCGGAGCCTTTTCACCCCTCGCCTTGTCTTCAAATGGAAATGATTCCCATTGGCCCAAGGTGTCCATGTAAATAGGTGTAAATGAAACCAGATTATGCCTTTCTCTCCAGCCCCCTCCTCCCCGCTCCCCTCCCCCTGCTCCCAAGGCGATTGTCATATGATAGCAAAGAAGTGGCACATTAATGAAGCGCCTCTACAGGGGTCTTTTCTGCTCATGTCACCACATAAAACTATCAGATGGTTAGAGGAAGGACATGGAGGCAACTACTTAGCTCATCGCGGCTGCAGAGAAGCAAACAAGCCTCTGCTACAGTCCAGCTGCCGGTGGTGTAAAAGAAGCTGATTCAGCCCGCGGAGAAGGGAGGGGTGTACAAGAGGATTCCCAAAACCAAGCCAGCTCGCTGCCTCTTCAGGACGCACGAGGGGGGCCGGGAAAGGAGCTAGAGACACGCCGGAGGAGCGGGGTGGGAAAGAGCCCGGACTCCCAGCTGCGTCCCGGATGCGGACTGTCAACTTCCAGCAACTTTAAGGTGGGCATATGCAGGGCTGGCATGGAGTGGGGTGGGAGACGAGGGGAGGGGATGGGATGGGAGGGGGTCCCCTTCTCCTCCTCGCCGAGACCAGAAGGCAGAGCTACCACTAGAGTAACTTTACGGGCGCGGGCTGCTGCGGGGAGGCCAGGCTGAGCGAGGCCGGAGCTGGGAGAAAGGCGCATCGCTTTTCCCCCGCCGGCGGCGCAGAGCTCCGGGTTGGTTTCCCCTGCCCCCGTCCCGCCCCCCGAAGGCTGAGGTCCGCCGTG